GGGAATTTTGCTATACTCTCTTCGGCAAAGATGTAGATCTTGACAAGATAAGAAACATTGCTGAACATGTCACCCCAAAAAAACACCCCTTCACTATAAAAACCACCCTTGAAAATAGGTCAATTTTAAGTCACTTTAAAACTCAAAGGGGTGGTTTTTTTGGGGTGACATGAATGCAAATCCAGTACTGAATAAATAGATGTCGGCGAAAATCTGTGTGTTTAATTTGCAAATATGACACGCATCACATGGAGACGTGTCTTTTGGTGATAGAGAACGAGACTAAAATTCGACTTTCGTTTTCCTTTTTCGACTTTACTCATGCGGCACGAGTATTCGCACTCTGTCGAGAGCATCGAGTGCCCTTGCTCCATGAGCTGTTTCTCCCATATGAATGCTATATACAGAGAGCCGCATACTTTCTACACAGACGTACACAGTACACGCACGAGCGGCACAGCAAGGAGATGTGCTATTTTACTCCAACGTACACTGTGTATCCATCTCTGTGTGTTTACTACAGTCTATACAGACAACACACCACATAAAAACGAAGTGAAGTGTCAGTTCATAGCACACAAAATATGCGCACACAGCTAGAAATACCGTTTGATTTTTTTTCAACCAAATAAAATTGGTTTCGAGTCTCATGCCATTTTGGTTCAATATATGAATATAGAATTTTTCATGCTGATTAGTTGTTAAATAATAAACGAGAAATAACTTTTTGAAAATATAATCAAACTTTAATAAAAACAAAGTAAATAAATAGTCTTACCTCCGTAAGACGAACTTTTCCGCACCGTTTTCATAGCGTTCAGCTTTTATTCAGATTTTGCCTAAGAAATTTATAAGAATTTTCAGAAAAAAACAACAGTACGTTAATGTATTTTATGGAAAATTGTATTATGATTCCGAGAATCTTGATCCTGGGTATTCAAATGAAATGAAACGTCTGATTGTCTTTATTGTCGTCTGAAAACTTAATTCTACTCTCTTTCAAAAATGCAAAATAATCAAGTATTGAAAAAACTGCACTTTAATCGAAGAACTGCAAATCAGTCAAATATTTGGAGAATGAACTTTGATTTTAATTAAATCAAAAAATGTGGACCGAAATAATAAGCTATCTCGACAAAATGTTTAATAAGCAAGTTGAATGAACTAATTTTTTTTGTTTCTTCTTCTTGTTTTTGTCCATAGCAGACTGGATGCATATTGAATGGTATGGTTCTGTTTGCGTTCACCAAATTTATAATGAACATATCGATTGTCAAATCATTTAAGAATTCTGTTCCAACAATTTGATTTGTGATTGATTCTAGATCTGTATTCTTTGTAGTTTCACACAAGTCTCCGATTTCGTAGTAAAATCCATCCTCTTCCAACTCGGGAAAATCCACATTGTTCAGAATAAATGAGACTTCAGAGGCGCATCAATTCACTATGTTTAATCACATTCGCTATCAGAATCACTATTCAATACCGATTGGATACGAAAAAAAGGTGGGTTAGCGGGTTCTAGGTTGTTCCTGGCCCCTATTATTTTGATGAAATAAATCGGGTGGGCATGATAAAACCCACCTGGGTAGCCTATTTTGGGTACCTCCCGAACAAAAGTTCGATTTTTTGAAGGTTTTTCATAGGCTAGGTATCCTAGGGTACATCTGGGGCGGCTGGAAATTTAATGGTTTCCAAGTCTAACGAAGCAGAAACGTTTGGTACTTGCAGAATTTCGTTTCCCGTTCTGGTATTTGAGCAATCGTGCTAACAAATTTTTGCGTACAGCGTACAGCGAACATCGTACAGCGCACAGCGTACAGGGTACGACACACTCACATTAACATAGCAAAATAACCACTGTATCGTGCTTTTTGGTGTCGAAAATGGATAGAAAAATGGTTTTTCGGGGTACCTAGGTTTTGGAGTGATTACAATACTTTTACTCACGACATGGGCGTGCGAAAAAGTAAAATGGGTCACATGAAAGTTGGAATTGGAAAAGAGTTTCTTGGCAAAATAATTCGAGAGGAAGAAGAAGAACTCGATTCAAATTCAAAACAAACAATTGCTGCACACAAAAAAATCATTTGATGAAAAACGTAACTTTTGTTCGGGAGGTAACTTAAAAAGTCAATTTTGAGAGTTTTTGTCTGAGTAGAAAAAATAACATTGCACCAAGACACCATCCCTAAAAAGCTTATACTTAAGGATTTTTTGGTCAAAAGTCGATGTTTTGGGAGTTGAAATCGAATATGAAGCCAGAAATATGTGAAAACATCACTCAATTTGGTCATGTAAGTACCCAAAATGTTCGTAAAGGACCATACTAGATGTTCAAAGGCAGGAAAGGTAGAAATCATTTGCTTTTACCTGTCAAACCGAAGCTCGTATTCGTGATTTGCTCATTTTGGCCTGAAATTTGTCTTATATGTGTGAATCAATTGTCGCCAAATTCCATCCAAATCGCAGTCTGACAAGTACCAAAATTTTTGTACAGGTTCTAGCTACACGACACAAGTCAAAAACTGAACAAAAGTTTACCGCCTGGGTGACCAGTAGAGCAAAAAATGCGAAAAATGCCGAAAATTTGCCATTTTTTCGGGCATTTTACACTGTAACTGGCCTAGAAGGCCTTTTCAAGGGCTGATGTCTTGGTAAAAGTTGTAGATATTGACGAGCCAAACAAAACCTCATCAACAGTTTTTGCCGAAAATTGGCTAGAATAATGGAATCGGTCGAAATGTTGCGATCTAAAATGGCTTCCGAAATCGCTGTCATGAAAATTTTGGCACGGAATTTTATATGGTACCCATATCAGTAGTGTAGGCTACGTTATTATTGGGCCACCAGTCGTATTCTATGTGATTTTCGGGCCACCGGTCGAAATCTATGTGATTTTCAGGCCAGTGTTTTGGAAATAGCGTTGGTCTAGAGTGGTGGTCTGAAAATCACATAGAATTAGACGGTTGGTCTGAAAATCGGGAAAATTTTCGATTACTCATCGCGTAGGAATTTCAATGATTCATCGCGTAGAAATTTCAATGATTCATAGTGTTGGAATTCAAGTTTTTATGTGATTCATCGCACATCGGAATGTATATATACTAATAAAAAAATTGATGACGTTGGGATTATGCGTTATCATAGCGTTTGATGATTCATCGTGACGAAATGTTCAAAGCAGAGAGAAAAAAAGAAATGGATTTTGTTGGGAAATATATTAAAAATCCGAACGGTTGCTGCTGATAAAAGAATAGAATTTTTTTTATTCGCCTTCTTAAATATACGCAGTTTTTTTTCCTAAATACTAAAACTACCTTTTTTTTGTCTACTTTTCTTTTTTTTCATCATTTTTCTTCGTTTTGTTTTTTATTTTGAATAATGTTTGAATTTTTTTGAATGAACTTTTTTGTAATTTGTAATTACTAGTAGTAGTTGAAGTAGTAGGAATCGTTTTGAACATTTGAAATCATTCATAGCCCATCAATGTGTGATAGATCCAACTGATTTCGGCATCATCGTTGTCACTCGTTGCAAATTCCCCAACGTAATAACCAATTAATACGCGATCGAATTCGTCCAATTCTTCTTCGATGTTGTTTACCTCGTTGTTGACGTCGACGTTGTTCGTGTCGTTGTTCGCATCGTTCATGTTCGTATCATTGTTGTGGTCGTCGTTAAAGCCATCATTGTTTTGAGCGTTGAGCCATGCTTTCTCGAGAATATCGGGGAAATTGCGATCGGTGTCATCGTTCATGTTCGTATCATTTTGGTAGCCGTTGTTAAGGCTGTCATTGTTTTGAGCATCGAGCCATGCACGTTCGGCAGCATCAAGGAAATATCGGTTGGGGTCGTCGTCGAAATTGTAACCATTTTCATGAAACCCGTTTTCTTGCAAATTTAAATAATCGAAAAATTCATCTTGGGCGTTGTCAACGGTGTGAACCGTGTTCACACTGACGAGCACTTCATTAAATTGTTCATCGTTGTCGTCGTTATCGGTGTTCCAGCCCCAGAAATCGTCATTGCGTAACGGTGGTGAAACATTGGTGTTATCTTCATCACTTGAAATGGAAATGGTTTCGATGTTGTGATCAAAATCATCGTCACTGTCTGCAATGCTTAAATATTCACTTCCGTCGTGTGAGTAACGGCGAACACGGTATGGGGTACTTTGGCACATTTTTTCCTTCGTTTATTTTTTTGATTGAAAAAAAAAACGTTTTTTTTTGTTTTGATTTATTTATTTCTTTTTACTTTTGATTGTGTTTCTTTTTTTTTTTACTTCACTGAAAAAAATCGATATTGATTTTTTTTCACTTCCAAAAACAATGTTTGTCGAAAAAAAGAAAGAAAAAAACCGTTTATATTTTATGAACAGTGTGAAAAAAACAGTGAAAATGAAAATGGTAATAGATCACTTGATTGATGAAAAGCAAAAATAAAACTAATGCACTTTGAATGTGTCATCTCAACATGAGTACCGAAAAATCATTTACGGAGACTCATGCGTTTTCATCGTTATGTCAATTTCCATAATCGAACTGTGTTTTTGGTTCTAATGCGGCATCATATTTTTATAAACAATATGTATCGCAAACGACGCAAGTGTCGTCAATAAAAGAATCATAGTTATGATTTTTGCTTATCAATGCAAAACGCATAATATTCAAAATCAGTTCACTGTTTCATCTCTGATCGCATCGGAATTCAATGGAAGTGCGTCTTGACCGCATACGATCATTTTATTTAAACAAATCCATACATCTCCTATTGCGTGGAGTGTAGGTGCAAGTGTTGATTGCGACGTGTATGCCGTCACTTATATTTGAACCTCTCATTGCATTGCGTCAAAAAAATCTAAATTCAACTGTGTACACTATTCTTTTGTGTGTTATTAAATCGAAGCCAATAAAATAAGAGAGTGATTGAAGTGTTTTCTTTTCAATTGTTGTTTCTTTATTTCAAAGTATTTGGAAAAAAGTGGAAAAAAAAACATGGAAGGCCGCGATGGTATTTTTCGGCAAGCAGCGGAATTCCCGAGCTATGCAGTTGAAACACGTCGATTACGCTCCTTTAAAGATTGGCCCAAGGCTTTAAAACAAAAACCTGAACAAATGGCGGATGCTGGATTTTTCTACACAAAAATGTCTGATCGCGTTATTTGTTTCAGCTGCGGTGGTGCGCTAAAAGAGTGGGAAGATAATGACGATCCATGGGAACAACACGCCCTTTATTATGGCGACAAATGCAATTATTTGCGACTAATAAAAGGTATCGATTATCATGACGAAGTAATTGGCAAATTAGCGGCCATGCGAATCGCAGATGAAAAAAAAGAAGAAGAAGAAGAAGCAAAGGTAACCGAAAGATCGGAAACGCTACCAACAGCCAACCTTAGTAATGTAGCGAGTGCACTGACTCGTGCGCCTATACGGGAATATAAGCGC